TCCTCGTCCCATTGCAGTGCAATAAGAATGTTTTTGGTAACATCTTTACTGTCAACGAATCCTTCTGGCACGGCATTTGGGGCCAAGATCTGGTACCTTTAATAAATTAAAAATATTATTTAACGAGTTCTGAAAAAACAGACATTTTTTCATCTCAAGAACTTATGAAAAAAGCAATACTAACAATATAACCTAATATAACATATTAGTGTATACCTCTGCTTAAAGTCGCCATAGACCAGTCTGTTGGGGAAGCCCTTGCGACAAATACGAATTCCTTCTAGCACACCGTTGCAAGTCAGTTGGTTCATTACTAGATCAGCATCTACTGCACCTCCCTCCTTGTTTTCGTTGGGGATGATGCAGCGTACGAAGTGAGGTGAAGTGCTCTCAAGCGTGTGCATCAGTCTGTTCAGTTGTTCCTGTTGGATTAACACATCTAAATGGTGAGCAGCAAGATTGGAATGTGGCACGCAGTGTTTTCCCATTGTCGTATGAAACGGGATGAGAAGCCGTTTTCAGCATATTCATAAAAGTAATTCGGCTATATTAAATATTACTCACTCTATACACAGCAGACACGGTTTGGAAGGCAGATCCTTTCTTCCTCTTGCCCTTGCCTCCAGATTCCTCCTCCTTGACCAGCTTGTCAGCAAAGAGCGTGCACATCAGATGGTTTCCATGAGACTTTGCAAACGTTTCAGCAACTGTGTCGTTGATGGGATCCTTATTCTTTTCCAACCACGCGCTGATATTGTAGTTGACAATACCAGCATAATGGCAGATACCGAAGTGAGCTTCCTTTTGGTTTCCCTTCGGTGGCTTTGGCTTGATAAAGGCCTTAGACTTGCCAAGATGATTTTGCACAAGCTTGTCCTTGAAGGTGTCATCAGTTGCTTTTGGGAACATGGATTCCTCTTCCAGGATGGCAAACACGCCCATGGGCTGTTAACAGAAACATATCGTCAGCTACTAACGGCTACTAATTACATTTTACGTGTATTTTAATATTGATTTCATGCTTAACCAAACAGAATACCATGACTTGATTATCATGACATGATTAATTAACATTTTGTCAATTATGTTTATACTTTTTCAATCATGTCGATACAGGCTTGTAGATCCAGACCGAAATCAATGAAGACCCAATCGATTCCCTCACGCTTGTATTCCTCCTGCTCCAGAACAAACATGTGATGGTTGAAGAACTGCTGCAGCTTCTCGTTGGTGAAGTTGATGCAGATCTGCTCGAAGCCGTTGAAATCGAAGATCTCGAATCCGGCAATATCCAGTACTCCAATAAAGAACTGCTTCTTGGTTGGAGTTGCTAGCGTCTCGTTGACCTTGACGACCAGCCACTTGAACATTCTATCGAACATAGCCTTGGCCAGTCCGGAGACTCCGAAAATACATTGGTCCTTGTTCTGACCCTTGGTGACGTATTCCGTTCCGACCTTGACACGTGGCTTCAGTAGACCCTTGTAAAATTCCGCATCAGAGACACCCAGCAGATGAGCAACACGCCCTCCACTCTCCATGCCATCGGCCTCGGCCTGCTCCTCTCGCGGTCTCTGCTTGAAATGCATAGTTCCCATATGCATGACAGACGCTACGACCTTGTAGATGTTCTGTTTCTCCTCTTCCGTGAACATCAAAACATCAAAGGCCACCTGAAAAGTACTAGGTGCCATTATCACACGAAGTAGCACAACCGACGGTAATAGTTATTAAGAATACATTATTCATTATTTTCAGTTGAATTAGGTTGATGTTATTGTTTTAGACATGATACATTGTTGTGTTCAAAATTAAATATTAACTATCATTAACTATATCTCACATAACCGACAAGTAGGCTGCCTCGTGGTATAAGCGACATGTTAAATTCTTTTGCAAGTTACTAAGGAGGAGTGTACAGTATTTAATTATATAATAGACAATGAAACTAATATCTAATCTTAGGAATATCATATAGCATAGATCATGGAAATTTAATTGCTGAATTGTATCGGCTAAAATATCGCAATCCTTTCATATTTCAATGACTAATACTTATAACGTGCCGTGTGAAAAGATTAGCTAGGATAGCATACGATGTTACCGCACGGCTAGTGGCAACGTAAACTAGCGCGTGCTTAAAATAACAATCATTAGTCATTTAGTTATTTCTTACTGTCGCTGAGCAGTAAAAATTATTCTAACTAAATATAGCCGGATTTAACGACATACAATATTAAAACCTGAAGTCGTGGTATCATAAGTTTAGTGTCTAATATAATTATTGTTTTTTAACAAACACAGAAAAAGGCTATCGATAACAAACAGATAATCGTCTATCGTAGATTCCACAGACGCAAATAGAGCTTAGTCTATGGTGCAGCAGCAGCGGCAGCAAATAGATCATAGTGTATCGAAGAGCCAGCTAATGAAGGGTCATGGCAGTTATTTTATATAAGGGCTATTGTATTAGTCTAGGGTTCTTATTGACTTACATCAGTGGCTCTCATTTCCTCGCCATCATCAACACCGTCGATATAAGTTCTTCCCTGAGAGACGAATGGATACGTTTCGATCGGCTGATCAAGCAACAGCTTTGCTGAAACCAGTTATGCGTATAATTATTGAGCATTATTAGTAATATTATGTATGTTGTCATTAACACCATTTTTAATTATACAAAATTCGATTAAATTAAAATTAATTGTAGTCTGAATAACGCGTTTATTGATAGCAGTTATTATTTTATTCATTAATTTAATAATTTAGTTAATAACCTGGAAACACGTAATGATGAGATGTGAAGTTAATGATGTGAACTATAGTCACGTCTATATATTACGTACCATTCATTCCCTCAATACCATTAGAGATAACTTGGTAGAATATATGGTAGCTGCGCTCAATGGCCTGCTGCGATACAACACGAGACTTCTCCAGTAGATCTGCAGCGATAAACAAATTATTAATGCTAAACAAAAGATAACAATAGATCCAAGCTCATAGAGCATAGCTCCAATAGATCTGAAGCGACGTATTAAGGCATATGCGCATACGTTAATA